TATCTGCAAACTTTCGGTAATAAACAGATGTATTATGGCTATTCTTTTCGATACCAATTCCATTTGAGTTGTAGGGTCCACGATCAGTTCCTTCATCAGATCGTTCTGCACTAGCAGATTCTTGATGATCATTGAATGTCTTAGGTTTATCCAGTTTAATTCAAATTCCATTGACCAGTGTGTTCGTTTTATCTTTTTCAACATCAATTCTATTTTGGCAGCAATAACCAAGGTTGCCTTTTCTATCATCATGACTTGGCCTGGCTGATTCTTGATAAGATTCGAAAGACTTGCTTTCGTTATTCTTGTATTTGATATTTTGGGTATTTCTTTTATCAGTGTCTTCAGGTTCATTTTTTATTTTCATTTTTCTTTCGTGTTTAGGTTACGGTATCTGCTAACCTTTTTATATCCTTTGGTTCCTTCGTTTTTTTCTCTATTTCATTCAGCTTCAGTCTACGGGTAATTAAAGACAAGTCCTTGAGGTGTCATTGTTGGGTAAAGTACGTAAACTACCTTTTTCTTAACTTTTCTTTTTACCTATCATAGGCATCGGAGTTAGACCCTTTCTTCCAATGGAAGTTTACAAGTAGGGTCCTTTTTGATTCGATAGGTTATAGCGAGCAGGAGTCCTTGCAGAGGCTTTATTGTAGATCCAGTACTTATCTTCGTATGCACAATAGGCGGGGCAGGTCAGTGACTTTTATATATTGATCAGAGCCTTGAAGATCTTTGAATACGGGCAGTAAGTGCTTTGATGAACTTTTCAGTTGCTTCACTTAATCATTCAATCTTATTGAAAATTTCTTCTAATTCTGATTTTATTTTTTAATTTTTTAATTTTTTTGGTTTCAACAACCAGTCTTATATCTGATAGTAATTACAATAATTACAACTTGTAAGAGAGGGTCAGAGAATCGTAATATGACGGTGAGGGTTGCAACAATAGTTTTAGGTAGACTCAGTATATTGGTTCTAAAATACAACTTTTCAGAGAAACAATTCACTTTTCAAAAAAAAAAATTATCACAAAATAAACACAAGTGGACACAGTCTATTGGTTCACAAAAGAAATTCACACAAAAAACTAATTTGGACTCAGTATGTTGGTCCTAAAATAAAATGTTTCAAAAAAAAATTTTTAATTTTCGTCAAAAAAAAAAAACTATCACTAAAATCTTCATAGCATATAAATACAAGTGGACACAGTTTGTAGGTTCACAAAAAAGAAATTCTACACAAAATTAATTCAGACTCGGTTCATTGGTCCTCAAAAAAAAAACTAACAAACAAACACTCAAAACTTAAAACAACCAAAGAAAGACAAAAAAAAACAATCAAATTTATATTGTGGGTAGTATCATTACGATTTCAATTTTGTATCTTCTAACTAAAAACAGCCGAATTCACCAGATCTCAAAAGTTTTGGGGCTTCAAAATGCTATCATTCTATTTTACAGTCCAGCTGTTCATAAATGTTCAATTTCACAGTTACTACCAAAAATGTTAGCGGGTTAGTGACCAATACACATACCTACAAACAAAAGAATAACAATGGTCAGTTATCAGGTCAAATAGACAAGACCACTAATAACAACACTTAGTAGAGAGTGAGGCGGATAACAATTTGGCACAGGTCTAAGATTCCTACTAAGTATTGTTATGCAAATAATTCAAACAGTTTTTAATGAACATTTTAAGCTTAGGTTTGTTAGAAGGTTTTTATTAATGACTTTATTGTATGGGGCAGATAATACATACTAAATTGAATCCAATTACAAAAAAAATTCGACCTTCTATTTATAACTATTTTACAGGGCAAGAAAAAAAACAAGCTCGAACATTTCCTCCCATTGAACCGTCA